GCTACCAAAATATATATGCAGTTTTAGTCGCTCACGCCAAACGTGTGGGTCCAAGCCTGGACTCGAATATCAGATCTGATCGATACCCTGCAGATGAAGCTGCACATTCATCCCGAGAAGCTGGACTTCACATCCATCGACCGTGATCTTTCCGTACCAGCGGTCACGATTTGCGGCCGGCTTCGTATCGACAACATGCCTATTCTGAATGCCACGATGGCTGCAGTCGTTACGAACTTGAACAGCGCCACCGTCGGTCAATCACTGGTGCGGTTACTCGACAACGGCAGTGGTGGGTACTAGTTTTTGGGAACAGTTTACACCGAACATGGTAATAACACTAACTCCTTAACCACAGAGTATTTTGCATTCTTAATTCCTCATTGCCTAGGGGACATTCCAGCATACCACAGCTCCGTAATTCTTGAGCATATGCAGTTTAGACTGTAGTCATAACAACGCACAACACAGTAGTTCATAACAACGGAGAATACAGTAGTACAAGTTCGGTGACAACTGCATCGAAGAAGAAATCAAATATTTGTCTTGTAAGAAGGAGCCGCTCCAAGTCTTGATGCAGATCACGTTTACCCTCGGTGAGTGCGTTTTTGAGTACGTTGTAAATTTGTGGCATTTTTTTGTTTTTAACAGTTTTTCTGTAGTTTCATCATTATCTCCTCCATTTATCACATCCGTAAATAGGTAAACCACGGCATGTCATGTGTTGCATGTTGGAACGTTCGTTCTACACCACCTTTGGTGAGAAGAGGAAGCTTGACCTGCAGAATCGGTTGATTACAGTAGATTGCACCATGTCAGTTGCGTATGCCCTACTGTTCTTCAAGGTAAACGGGCCTCTGTTTTCTGTGGAACAGTTTTAGCACTCAATCCTGGTTTGCCGGGTAAATGTCAAACAGGCGACGCTTAGTGCCAATGTTACCTATGCCCAAACAGATGAGTCGAAGCGAGGAGGTTGGCGTCGACTGTAGCTGCTGGCCAGAGGTGATCGGCTGTCGCGAAACCGATACCGCGAATAACAACTATGAGCACTTGTCAGACGTTTGCGAGACAAACAGCTTGATCGTGGGTAAGACCCAATTCTCTAATAAGCACATCCACCAAACCGCATCGACTTTCTCCACTGGACCACGTCCTAAACAGTCGCAAATATTACACCTCGTCACTCGAGACTCGCGTCTGACGTGGAACCCGCATTTTGTCCACGCAACACCATACCGCCATTTAAAATTAAACAATGTTTCACACAGACGTTACCTGGCTGAAACACACCAGCTACTGTATGAGAAGTGGCGCGATCGGCCAACTAAAAGTTGGTAGGGAATTACATTAGAGCCACCCATACCGGTAAGTTGGTCAATGGCAATGTCGATCGACTTTAGAGACAGTTCAAAATTAGGGTCATTTTGTCGGCGAAGAACGAAGTTGGAATAAGGAAGACGAGAGTAAAACTGCTCTGGATTGAGGAGAACATCTTAGCCATCATATGGCTGAGAAACTAAGCTAAAGCGTACCTGTAAGAATCTGCTGTACTTTACAAGACATACCATCGTCGTCTCGTTCGTACAGTCAACCGGAGCTATGGCCGGGAGAGACAACAACGAATTCGGTATGAGATTCGCAACATCGACACGGCAGACAGAAACGACGACCAATGAACAGCATTTTAAGTCGGAGTTGACCGTCGGCTGGTAAACAGAGAACTCGTTCCGATTATCCAAGACTCGAAATATCTAATTGGCAGATAAAAATGAACCCTTAAATGATGGGCTGAAAAATTCTGATAGCTACGCAAAAACTGTTCTTGAGATTACTCCCTTCGAACCGCTAATTTTCTACCAGCTCTAGAAGTTAACGTAAACCCCCGTTCAAACGTAGAAATCCAAAAGGCCTCGATGCACCTGAAAATGAAACTCGCGATGTGGTTCAACTTTAATTAACTTCTTATTTAGTTAATTAAATATGGCAGAACGAGAATAACAGAAAAGCTGCATACTTTATTTCATAAAATGTGGTATTCAAAGTATTTCTCTGGAGGATTCTAACTCCGCCATGGCCGGTCCCAAGCCCGGATGAGAAAGGAGGAGGGTTGGAGACCGTGGCAAGTTTCCG